CGGCGTACGTGAGAGCAGGATATGGACTAGGCCAGCACCGAGTAGTTAAGAGTGGGATACATACTGACCTGATCATTGAGTCGGCCACCGCTTCTAGAAAGCAATCGAGCACCTGCTTGACTCTGACAAGGAGAGGTCTTGCAACGCACTCGCAGCTCCGTCAACATTGGAATCCGTTTTCCTGCAGCGCTGCTTGATTCACTTTCAGGTATTTAGAGAGTAACTCGGTATTGCAGGCGAGGAACGAGCATCAAGGGCATAGGGGATAGTGCGACCTGATAGGATCAGATAGAGAGGCACGTGTAGGCTGCGCGAAAGTGCCCTTGTGGATAAACGTCAACGTATCCTATTTTCTGTCGTCGTTCACCTAGTCGAAAAATGTCTCGCATGTTACCTGGAAAACTGGTGAACAGTGAGTAAATGGATGGGACCGATGAAATTACGGTACTGATGAAACCTCAACTGTCGGATGGTGGTCCCACGTCCCATGACGCTGCACGAGCAGGAGGAAGCCTGGTTCAAGATCAAGGGAAGGAGATTGAATGCCCAGTGATGGGGCCCCAGACGTCCTCCGCCATGACCAGTCAGCAAAATGTACGGAAGACAATCGAGATCGATGGGAGAGATGAAATCTGTTCAGTCGCGTTCCTGATGGAGGGCAAACATGTTTTGAGTGGAGGAAATGAAGAGAAAATTCGACGATGGCGATTGGAGGATGGCCAAGAAATTGCAAGGCCGATAGATGTAGGGGGTTTGGCCAACGCCATTGCTGTGTCAAGCGATGAGAAGTGGATCGTGGGCGGATCGAGTGGGGGTTCTGTGTTAGTGTGGAGCGTAGAGAGCCACGAGCAGGTGAGCGAGATGAAAGGACATATGAGCGCAGTGTATGCGGTGGATATCTCTCCAGATGGGACCAAAATTGCTAGCGGATCATGGGACGGCGCTGCCTGCATCTGGGAGCAGTCGACGGGCGAGCAACTGCTGGTACGACGACAACGCACCACTGTAGTCGTGGTCAAATTCTCACCAGACGGACATCTTCTCGCCATTGCCACATGGTATTGCTCTGTTTGTGTCTACAACATCGAGGATGGTCGTCTCCTCTGCGAATTCTCAATCCGACCTGGCTCAACTTTCAACCAATGCCTTGCGTGGAACGACGACACACACATCTCCGCCATCTCTCGTGACGGTATAATCCACTACCTCAATGTCTCCACCGGAGAAACACTCTCACGATGGCTCATCCGCACCGACGGCGAGGGACAATGGGGCTGCATTGCTCTGTCAAAGAATCACAGCTTCATTGCAGCCTCCGCCGAGTCATTGATATCGTTCTGGGATGCGACGACGCACACGAAAATTGGGTCCGACATCGACTACAATGACACGGTTAATACAATGGCGATTTCAGAAAACTATGACATCGCAATTGGTCATGGCAAGACAGTCACCGTTCAGAACCTCGGTGGTATCCTCCCTTCTCGCTATGTTCGCAATCATGATGTAAGCGTACCTGCACCAATAGGCCTTATATGTCTCATTGACTCAATTTCTATTGCCAACCTACTAGAATGTGGATCCCGGAGAGGGAATGACGTCACTTCGTCCACAGGCAGGTGCGTGTATCACCCAAACTAGTCTAGACCATCAGCACGCTGACGCTGATTTCTGACATCCGAATCTACCAGACGATGAGATCACCGACCTCAAGAACTTGAAAGCCATGCAGGAACCGAATGATCAACTTACAGTGCTCCAAGGCCGCTATGAGGTGCAGTCGCGTAAACTCGCCTTGGCGCAGAAGGAGCTGGAGACCTTGAAATCATCCATTAAAGCTAAAGATCGCCAAATTGACGTACTTGCTGCCGACGTGGATCACTGGAAGCGTTCCGATGCCTCCAAAACAGAAGAACTCGCCGCTGTGCACAGAGAACTCGAGGAACGCCGTCGCGATTCAGAGGAGCTCATTGCCGTGCGCGAGGAACTTCAGGTCTCCCAGTCTCAAACCATCCAGATCCAGGAATGGTACGACGAGCAGTTTAGATATCTCAAGTCCGTCGTCGAACAAAATCAGCGTACCCCATTCATCGTGCAAAATTTCATTGCTCAGGCGGACGCACGTGCGGAGATGAATATCATTGAAACACTTCAACAACTCAACTCGAGGATAGATTGGAGTTCCACGTTCATCGCGGATCGTATCATTCACAATTTCGAGCCTCGCACTACGAACCCGACGGAGGAACAAGTTTCTATTGCAGCTAGGGTCACCGGATCTATCGGACAATCTCTGGTGAACCGGTTACGGAGTAACTCACGCACCGAGGTCGTTGCATATCTCCCTATCGCCTTTCGTGCCTATCTTATCTATCACTTGTGCGGGATCATGTCCTCGTGGTCCATGGATAGTGGGCCCGATCGGCTGATCCGTGAATTATACAGCATAGTCCGGAAACTCGGTGAGGAACTAATCTCAGCGTGCCACTGATTGTTCTGCTGATGGTGAATAACAGAGTCACAAACGATATCTGCCCGCTGGCGATCGCTAACCTATGCTGCTCTCTCACCGACCTGTTCAAGCAACCCAAGCATGCTTATCACATCTACGATGGATGGACTTTGTGATATAATCGTCACTGCTGGTTGTGCCCCTTCCGCCTCCGCTGCGAAAGAAATGATTGCGTCGAAATTCCGGGGTCGGATATCCTTCATCCTCACCACTGCGGGGCAACTCACGAAGTCGATCATGAACGCACTGTCGGCCGACTATCGAATCGAGGCCATTCATCCACTGAAGGTGTTAGATGGACAAACAATGGAGGTTGACTCGGCTGGTCCAGGGAAAAAGTCGAGGAGCCAGTTTGTATTGTGCACGACGCAGTTGGGTTTGTCAAAGGAGGTCATCACGCAGTCTGGGGTCGGTCCCAACACGAAGAATACCCTTACTGTGACGAACGTCGTTAAGGCAAAGGTTGTCATGGGGTAAGATGTGGTGCAGTACCGTCGTCACAGAGGTTCCGTTTCAACGTCTCTTTGCTGCAAGTCCGTTTCTTTTCGACTGTGTTGTAGCTTCCGTCTACTAGTATCGTTTCCTTTTCGTTCCAGGTCGATCACCCATTGTGCTGGTATTTTCCTTGAGCTGCTTTCAAGTAGTAGCCCACTGACTCCTTCTATGTTCCCCGGCCGTTGCACAAGCCTTCCAAAGCTGTACGCTCGCAGTTCCGAATGTTATCGCGCTGTTTTTCGCTCTACTGCCTCATACCAGATGTGACTCCTGCGAAGATCGGGTGAATCCTCTTCGCGATAAATAACATTGAATATGCACTCGCGAGCGGATTGATGTTCGCAGTGGAGTCAATGGGTTCCCTGACACCAGCCCATTTGAAGTTCCCCAGATCTGAGTCAATTACTTGGATAAACCAAACTCTCTTGACAACACGTTCGCGTCGTCCAAGCCCAAAGTCTTTCCAACTGCCTACCAGACCATTTCACCACGACAGATGTGTCTCACCACCCTCTGATTGGCCTGGTGCAGACAATCATCGACTTCTCCACACGATTTCACGATGCCCAAATCATGATCTGCCCCTGGACCCAGGAACACGTCGAGCATTGATGCCCAACTTCATGACGCAATTTTGGATGTGCTCTCTTTGATCCGGTCATTGATTTTTCAATGACTGCTTGGGTCTCATAGTATTCCTTCTTCAACAACGTTTTTGGGTACATTTCCTATGAATCCTGAACAATCTCGTTCTACAATGTTATATTTACCGTTCTCCTACCGCTTGTGATCGGAATATTCGATCCTTTTGTGTCGGCACGGAGATTGGATCGATATCCTCAGCTGTACTCGCTTGGACAGCGGAACGTGTTTTTGTACCAAGACGCTGTTTTAGCCATGGATCGGGAACGCGTTGTATGAGTATCACAATCTGGTGCGTTGTCTTCGAGCAGAACAGGAGTCGACGGATAATATTATAATGCGGTCGTATAGATTGTTTGACTTCTCCGTCATCTTGTTTGGGGTGATTTGAAACACGACGGGGGTTGGATTCGGGGCATCGGTTTTTGGACACGGCATTGAATCTGACGGTCTTGTTAACCGTGCTTGGCAAGGTGGCGTTGACCTCCGAGTATGTCTGCATTTATTTTGAGAGGAATACCACTCGTTGACGATATCGCCAGCTTGTGGACAAAATACACCGTCGCTGCCATCTCCGGTTCGTTCGTGTTCACGATGCTCTTTCTCCCGCTCTATGCCTGGATCGCACCCATGCTCGGTTTTTCGACCGAGTACTATGGACTTGTCCCGCGTCTGTGGACGGACGCCGTGTTTTATTTCATGCTGTTGCTCTTACCTGTCGTCTGCCTTGCGCGTGACCTCGCCTGGAAGTACTTTTCCACCCTCCGTCTGACTGAATGCAAACCCGCGGTTCCGTCTCATCCGTTGCACTGCCCGCATCTTTTTTATCGCCTTTTGGAACTGTTCTTGACGCGGTCTATAATCCAATGTTGGACTTTAGAAGTTCTTGCGCAACGTGGTACGACCGTGGGGCATACGTCGGGCGGTCCAGCGGCTGGATCAGACGCGGGTGATTCGGGAGTGGGGACACGCCATAGTACCATTGCGAGGCTAGAAAAAGGTGTACAAGATGTCAATCCACGGTGCACACCAGACGCTCACGTCGTCTGGAAGGTGTTCGGTATATTTTTGCAGCCGATCGCGAATATGAGTTTCCAATATGAGGATGGGATGATGTTAGTGGCATTATGAAACAGAAGTTGGGAATCACACTGTAGTAACAGCTTTAAAAGATCAACAGGCACGACTAGGCTCACCATATACACATGCACGTAGACTGGTGCGACCGCATATGCGGGTGTCAGGTTTGAACATGAGTATTTGAATGCTTGGGCCTGAGGACGGCTGGTGAATTCAGGGGTTGATGTTCTGCCAATGAGACACCGAAAACAAAAAGTCATTGTTACTTTGTAGGTCCTGCCAGGGTTCGAACCTGGGTTTTGGGAACATTCTCGCAGTCGTCTCGCGTCGTGAAGTCAAAATCCCAAGTGATCACCACTACACTACAGGACCAGTTGAATGCGGTGCAACCGTTCGTCATTATGAAGAGGATCGAGCGCAGCGGTGAATCTATATACTTCAACGGTTCGGGGAAATACCGTAAAGATAAAAACCCACACTACGTCCTCCTATGCTTATCCCCGAGCCGTAACCTTTGGTTCCCAAGCATTGACTTTTGGTGCGGCCGTATTGTACGGCCGGTACGCACCCCGTGTTCCAGTCAAGTTTTCCACCCATGGCTGTTGGACAAGACAAGTAAGCAAGTACGACGACGGAAAAGAACATGTAGGCGTACTGCTTTCCAAGCCGGGGAAGAGCTCTTCATGATGACGTCCTCGGTCGGTGGAAGCTGGCGGATGTGCTGCAGCCACGAATGCCATTCAGGAGGGACCTGCGACGCATTGTCGTAGTGCTGTGCAAAGTCGATCCATCTGTGACGACCTGATTGAAGGGAGATGATCAGCGAGTACTTGTGAGTACGCTCAAGACGTGGATCGACCTGGAACTTCATCTTCGGGGTTCAGGTTCTCGAAATAGCGGTTGCCGAACCTGGCCGAATGAGTTGGTTAGTGAGTGCGAAGACGAGCTGGAGAAGGCAACGAACTGGTCGGTGCCAACGAGGGCTCCTGCTTTGGCATCACCGATGTATTGCATCTGGTGCCACCATTGTTTGATGCCTGTTCTGCGTATATTTCGGATGTAGCGTGCGAGGGACACCATGATGGTGTTGCAAAGTCGAGAACAGTGTTTGTCTTTGTTTGTTGGCCGTACCTCTCCGACAGTTCCTAAGGTAATTCCAGTTGGTCGCTCCGCAACCTCCTCGCCTACCTCCATGGCCTATATCCATCTCACACTTCATCAGCTGACGCGACAGCGACTTTCCTCAGTCCCAAAAGCCATAGAAATCCTATTGGGGCGGTATGGTATTGCACACCCCTAACGCGACCCCAACATGGTCGCGTCAATTGCGTGTCTTCTCCTTGGCGTTCGTACACTTGGGTACTACGACTGTCTTCCTCTCATACTTTGTATGCTTACCATTTTGGGTTCAGAGTTAGGGTGTCCGCACGGTCGTGTTCGTTGACTTGTCCAGTATCTCTTTCTCCAACCCGCATACTTTGCGCAAACCCAGGGCTCGAGCCCTTCGTCATCCTCGGCTGGAGTCCTCGGTTGGACGGTACCTTGCATGGGATGGCACAATGGCACAATGGCCTTCCAACAATCGATTTGCCACGGTCGGGCGAGGACATGCCAGTGGCAACGATAATGCCAACGACAACGATCCATGGCACATCCTGTGGGCTACCGCCACTACTCCACTGTCAATAAGGCTGAGGGCGGCGATGATGGCAACTTGGAAAACGCCCGGGCCACGGCGGCGTCGATGGTGATTGACGGCAGGGTGTACAACCTGCCCCACACAACCTCCAATGCCTGTATAGCGGTGTCGACCACGACGAGATGGGCGTACGACGCACCTCATGCGACATCCACCTGTGGTCCCCATATCTATTCACCACCACCATCATCATCATCATTTCTTCATCGTAATGAAGACGAACGTGAGGACACGACGGCAACGATCACAACAATGAAGTTCGTGACCCTCCGGAGGATAACAGTATCTGTTATCAGCCAAAATATGTACCATGTCCCGACGATGGTTTGCTGCTCAACCTACGGATATGTCTTTCCGTCTCTACTCCCACGAACAATGTGACAAGGAGGTACAACCACTGCATGCCATCACGTTCCTCTCACAGGTGTGGTCATCCACCCTGCCTTTCTAGACAGAAAGCATTTCGAGAAAGCCACTCATACGTTCTATGACCAACCTCTCTTGATGACTCTATCGAGCTCACGTCTAACAAGGTCCCGTTCTACCGTTCCCGTATGTGCATTTGTAGTGAGTGCCTGGTGATGCTGACGAATCGCCATCCTTGCTCAAGAGAGATCGATAGTCGTTCCCGCTCGGGACCCCCCACTAACGCGCCAAGGTCATTCTCGTCCGCAACAAATCGAGCTGCCATATCCAGGTCTTTTCGGATATCGCGCGCGAGGGTTCGCTATGGGTGGAAATCTGGATATTTCTGACGCTATAGGACCAGATAAACTCCGATACATGCCTGCGTATTCGACGCTATATATCTGGTCTTGATACAGAAACTTTCTTCGGGGACAGACCGAGCTCATACGGATTCTTCGCGACCTTTATACCCGGCGCTCGCCTCCTTCAGGCCTAACCTTCTTGGAGAACCTCGAGGACCGAGTGCAGTTTGGAAAGTCCGGGGGGAACGGTGGGAACAATAGGCTCAAGGGTGAAATGAAATGTTTTACTTAATCTCACACCACGTCCCACCTTGTCCGAATTGAGGCGTCACAGCCGTGGATTTTGATATATCATTCGCCGATTACATCGCAGCCATCGACAATGGTCAGCCAACAACCGCTGTCACCTTCCTCGTTAAAGCCGGCAGCCGCTACGAACCAGGTCCAGGTTTTACTCATGCCTTGAAAAACCTTGCTTTCAAGGTTTGTTTAAATCAGTTCTGAGTTGCCACATCTACAGCACACGGTCGGAAGCAAACAAGCTACTGGCATGCCAGTGCGGGCAGCCTCAGATTGTCATCCTGTCTCGACGTGGCTGATTCTACTGGTGTTCTCGGTTTCTGAAACAAGTGCGTCCTGTTTTCAACTGATCATGTCCGCCGTTTCATTTTGTTAGAATGACTTACTCGGAGTCGCCACATATACAACACACAGCCGGAAGAAAACCAGCCAGTGGCATGTGGGCAACTTCGGATCGCCACCCTGTCTCGACGTGGCTGATTCTTCTAAGCACTTATGTCCGCGGGTTTCACCAAGCTCTGGAATGAAACCATCCGTCCTGTGCACTCGAGCTATAAATACCGTGTACTTTCCCTTCCATGAGTTCAGAAACCACTACTCGATCTTCTCTTTTTTATCATGGTTCAAGTATTTCATTTTCTCGCTGGCACTCATGCTCATAGTACAACTTTTACAGAATAACCACTTTCCACTAATAATTAAGACACCCACATGCTCACGTTGGAGAGTGGGAATCACGGCTCGTATCTATCTGTATGTCGACCCAACCTTCTCAGATTGCCTGGTGTGACACCTCTATAGGGGATGGGCCGGACAGGCCGTGCCAGGGCCAACTGGGGCGACCGGGCATGGGACTGGGATCATCCTCATTGAGATCTATCTTATGCATATTGACCGAGACGGAACCCTTGATTGGTGTATGTCTCTCACCCAGTAGCTCAGTATCGTCGTTGAGCAAGCTCGTAGCTACCCCCCTCACTCCATATGAAGGAGTCCAGCTGAGGGAGAACCGTGGAAGCGACCTCCCCGTTGGGTTCCCAGTCCCGGATTTGCCGAATAGTTTTGCCTACAATGGCGAATGGTACTGCGTCGGTGAGTCTACTCGCCATACACGAGCGCCATCATCTTATCTATTTTTCCTCACAAGTGATGGAGCATCGGCCGGATGACGTTCCGGGCGAGGTTCTCACCATATCCCAAAACTTCAATATACCCGCTGCTACCTATACAAATCCCCCGCCACCCCCCTGGTTTCCCGGCGGGCATCACGGTGGAAGTGGACTTTGAGGATCAAAATATCCTCAACTCCCGGAAAGAAATTTGTCCAACTCTTCAAATTAGCATGGATACAGTGGCGAGCGCTCAAAATGGGCAACTCACATAGACAAAATCAAAATCAAAACTACACCTCCAAAAAAGCAAATGACAGTATTTTAAGTACATGTGTGCATGTACTCGACGACACTAGATCAAGGTTGCTACCTCGGTACATTTTTGAAATTCTAACTTTGAGCCAACCATGCCTACCGTTCGCGTATGTGCATTTGTGATGATGCTGACGAATCGCCATCCTTGCTCAAGATCTAGAGATCGATAGTCGTTCCCGCTCAGAACCCCCAAGGACATTCTCGTGCATAACAAGGCGAGCTGCCATATCCAGGTCTTTAGTGCCGAGACAGGCTCCTGGTGTTCACATGGGTAAATGTACTATTTATCATCGTCTTTTGAGGTGGGATGCAAGGTTATACAAGATGGGTATGTATTAACGGCGAGTCCCCGAACCGAAAGAAACTAAGATAAGCATTACAAGTCCAACGAAAAATAGAAAACGAACAGCACTCTAATACCCCGACGGCTTCACCCCTCCACTCGTATCATAGGCCCGGATCACCCGCGTCTGATCCAACTGCTGACCGCCACCCTCCGTCTGACTGAACGCAAACCCGCGGTTCCGTCTCATCCGTTGCACTGCCCGCACCTTTTTGATCGCCTTTTGGAACTGCTCTTGACGCGGTCTGTAATCTGGGATGTTGTACTTTTGAAGTTCTTGCGCGACGTGGTATGACCGTGGGGCGTACGTCCGGCGGTAGTACTTCCAGGCGAGATCACGCGCAAGGCAGACGACAGGTAAGAGCAACAACATGAAATAAAACACGGCGTCCGTCCACAGACGCGGGACAAGTCCATAGTACTCGGTCGAAAAACCGAGCATGGGTGCGATCCAGGCATAGAGCGGGAGAAAGAGCATCGTGAACACGAACGAACCGGGGATGGCAGCGACGGTGTACTTTGTCCATAAGCTGGTGATATCGTCAGCGAGTGATATTCCTCTCAAAATAAATGCAGACATACTCGGAGATCAACGCCGCCTTGCCAAGCACGGTCAACAGGACCGTCAGATACAACGCCGTGCCCCAAAACCAATGCCCCGAATCCAACCCCGTCGCCTGCTTCAAGTCACCCCAGAACAGGATGACTGAGAAGCCAAACAGAATCTATACGACCGCATTATCGTCCGACTCACGTTTCTACTCACGAACACGACGCACCAGACTGTGATACAACGCGTTTCCGACCCATAACCAAAATGCCGTCTTGGTGAAAAACACGTTCCGTTGTCCAAGCGAGTACAACTGAGGATACCGATCCAATATCCGTGCCGA